CTTTTGATGTGCTTACATCTTCCCAAAAAAAGAGAGAGAATTGAAAAAGACATAAAGTTATGAATTTCTTCTTCTTCTTTTTTTTCTTCTTCTTGTTTGTGTGATGAAGGTATATGTCTGGTAATCATGTATCCCATTTGAGGGTGGCTTTTAATTCTAAATCAGCTTCAAATCCACTGTGCGAAATTCCTTTTGATGGTGTAATCGCCAACAACTTCACTAAACTAATTCGAATCTACCATAGCTTTGTTGACAAATGAGGTGTCTACTTTGTTCCTATACCTAAGAATCTTAGAGTTAACTTTTAAGCGTCATGTTTTTGGTTACACAGATTAAATCAATGCCCATTCTTAGCAAAATCTTTCTTCGGTTTGTGAAACTGATGAGATTTTTTATTCAAATCAAAAAGGTGAACAATCCTTTGAAAAGCCAAAGACGAGACTGTTTATTAATCATCAAACAAAAGTGCATGCATGATAATTAAACTTGTTTTAAGTCATTGAAAGATTAGTTTATCGCTTTAAAATCTTGTTAACCAATGTCGATAAGATAGATATAGAAAGATTTATCTTACATTTATATATATATATATATATATATATCTCCCTTTGGTACATTAATAATCATCATAGTCACCTAATCTTACATTGAAAGAAGATATATTTTCTCGAATAATTCTAGCTTTCAGTGTTTTGCTTCTGCAATTATATCTTTCCTTTTCTGTTCATATATTATTGAAAATAAATGGTGTAGTCAAATCTTGGGTTGTACAATTTGTGCTTAATCTCAGTTTATATATTATGGTGGTTTGTAAAGTGTTGTAAGTAATGGTTTAACTCTATCTATTGAGATACTGTTTCATTTTTGTTTTGTTTTCTGGATTGATTGAATCAGCTTTAAACTCATATATATATATATATATATGTATCAACTTATTGATACGTAATAAAACTGATTTCTGATTGAATTTAAAGAAAAATTCTTGGATCGAAACATTGAATTGGAAGGATTACAATCACATGAACCAACACGTTTTTTTTTTTTATTTGAACAAGGAAGAAGCGTGGATTATTTCATTAATGTACTTGAAGACAATATAAAGACTTGGAGGTCAAGGCTTGATGATAAAACAAAAAAAAAAAAAACTGGGTTTATGAAGAGTAAAAATATTTAATTATAGTCGGAAGGAGATCATATGGAATTTCAAATTAACCCCAACCCTAGGTTAAGAAAATGTTGGATAACAAGAAATGATCGAGTGAAGTCTCTTTATCTTTTTTTCCCTGATGATTTGCAAAAAGCAATCTCTGGCCTCCCCAAATGTTTCATCTGTTCATAAAAGCAAAACAAAAGTTGTTTCTTGATAAAGTTGGATAATAGTATTAGTCACCATTCACCAAAGATATCCTCATCACTTACCACAATTTTCAAAAGTGCATAAAGCGAATAAAGATTACTTTTTCCAGTTTTTCTTTGAAAAAGTTGTAATTCATGGAAGATGCAGAAAAGGTGTTGAATTTTGACACTGAGAAGGAGCATTTCCAAATACTTATTTCGTTTCTTGATGAGGGTGAAGATGTAAATCTCTCTCTGCCATTTCACCATGACGTGCCCAACTTCTGTTTATAAATAGTTGTTCATAGGATAACGTTTTGCAACTTAAGCCCCCTGCCTGGGCTGGCTGCTGGGTTTTTCTAACATCCTTTTCATACTCTTGAGGAACTTTAAAAAAAAAAAAGAAAAAGAGAAAATCATGCAGCCCCCAGGGAATAAATAAATAAATTAGAGATATCAATATAATAATATTATCCCTCGCTCACTCACTCTCTCTAGAATAGAATGTACAATAGAAATGGAAGGAATCGAGATTATATATTTGAATAGCGTATATTGGTGCTGCATCTGGAAATAAATAAAAAAGAATTGTGAAGATAAAAAATTGAGAGAGCAGAGCAGGGTTGGGGTCTGAATCATAGGAAGTGGAAGGAAAGAAGAAAACTATTCCTCTTTTTTGTTGGCATACGACCGTCGTTTAACTAGGGGAGTAATAAATAAAAAAAAGTTTTAGCTTGTCAAGTCAGTATGCAAATCTTAGGATAATCATTGAAATCATGATATTTTATTAAATTTTATACATGATTCTACGCGTAAATATAGACTATGGACGATGGAGGCAAGTATTATTATTATAGGCAGAGGTGCTCATGGATGGAGTGATTTGCCCTCACAAACGCCAATTGCCAATTACGAAGAAGCGGCCAAAGAACATTAAGGAAAGCCACGTGGGGGTTCCGACGCATGGGCTGAGTTGGCGGCACGCCATTGGAAGCAATCTGTAGATGACTGGGTGGACCCTACAAGGAAAAATATGTAACTTTCTAATTAATTATGAGGACGTTGAAATTTTGGGGGTGGGAAGGGGAAGGGCAAGGGGAAGAGAACGGATTGCTATGTGGGTTGTGATCCCATGAAAGAAGAAGCCCATAACTTATGGAAGTGTATCAAGCAAAAAGGACACACTTCTGAAAGGGATTTCGGGGAAGAGGGAAGAGGGACTGTTGGAATTATTGGTTCCCAAGAGGAATATTAAGCCGTCACTCATCGTCCAACGTCAAACCACACCTAACCCAAGTTCCCTCCCTGGCAAAAAACCCTAACCCTGGAACTCACAATCATTTCAATCATCTTTCCTTGCTAGGGATCTCTCCATGATTTCTTTTAGAATAATCTGTACGTCATCCCCCCTTATGACGTGTAACTTTTTATGTGGATCACATGTCTGCTTGGTGCCTTCGACATCCCGTGAATTTAGGGTTTTATTTTTTTAAAAAAAAAATAAAAAATAAAAATAAAATTTAATATTATAATATATATATATATATACACACAAACGTATACATGTGTATAAATATCCATCAAGCTTGCTTGAAAGACTATATGTTGGGCAGTTTTTACCACTCTAGATTAGTAAGAAAACTCCATGACCTACTGTGACTTGAAAATGTTTACGACTCTTCCTTACTGCTTTACTTGTTTCCGTTTCTCGTAAACTCCTCTGTCAATATTTTCTGCCCAAGCTTGGGTCATTTATGGTCTTGATGAAACATTGATTGATATTCCAAGTTAATCAGAGTGTGCAACAACTACACATATGTAGATTATGATTATGACTAGAACCTCACTTTCATATCTTAATTCAGCTGATAAATATATGCTGGCAAATTAATACGCATTAAATTACCGTTGTTTTCCGACAAGAATCAAAAGAGAGCAACCCCCATTTTTAACAACTGTCGCATCGCATTCTTCTTCTGCCTCTGCTTCTTCTTCTTCTTCTTCCCATATATGCCACATAATTAATAAAGAGTGCAATAGTTGTCGGCTAATGGCGAAAATGACCCTTCATCTCAATAGCTAGCCAACTTGACCTGCTATGCAAGGTATCCCCCTACGGTAAATCACGAGGACAATATCGACTTTTGGCTACGGATATATGCATATAAAGATATCTCTATATCTAGAAGTTTTAATTAGGTTTTAGGGTTTTTTTTTTCTTTTTGGGTGTGTGTTTCTGTCACATTCACTGGTATAGTGTAATTTGAGCTCCATTATTTCAATCTAATTGTGTACTCCTGGTGACCCCAGTCCAGTCATCATCTGCTATATATATACTATCCCTTAATTATTATCATCAGATAACACATGTTGTGACAAATATCCTTTTGTCCTCATTTTCTATTATTATTATTAACTTATTGCAATTGTTGCCTTTCTAACATTACTCACCTCTAAACCAAAACAAAAGAAAGATCAACCAAATAGTATTATTAATGTGTAGATAAGTTCACTCTTTTTTAGTTTTATTATATTTTATTTTCTGAGATGGGTCTGATGCCCCTTCATCATTAGTGGACCCCATCAAAGACAAGCCATCAGGCCCACTGGTTTTTGCTTCGCATCCATCCAGAATTTTTCTTATGTGATCAAAATTTGAACAGATGGGACTCTCTCTCTCTTAAGTTGATGGTTATAAATATGAACATATTTAAAGGAAAAAAAAAGGTTCCAGCTATTAATATTTGATTATTTATATCCTCTTCTTTTTCGATGTAGTTTTTTCTTGAGCTGTCTCTGTTGTTGCTCAGACCAATCAAATGGTTCACGTGGTCGGGGACATTAGGTTTTCTGAGGGCCTTTCTATTGAAGATGATAATGGACCCCTTTGATGGAATTGTCCGACCAATTAATTATTATTCCCACGTATGAAAAATAAGTACATGTTGATTTAATTAGCATATTTTGCAATTATTTTTATCCAATGAAATCAAGCACTTTAATCAGTATCACGCCAATTAATTGGAATAGCGGTGAATATTCTAATACCAATTCCAATTCCAATTCTAATTTTACTCGTTTTCTTGTCATAGGAAAATTCTGCGTCTCTTGTTTTTCCCTTTTTCTTTCTAATTGGTCACAAGTGGTCCAATGAATATCAGCTATATGTGAAGATAGTCAAACAATGTAATCAGATAAAAATTGCAGAAAGGTTAATGAAACTTATAAACCACACAAAGTAGAATTGTTCCCAAAACAAAAGTAAATGATAATGACCATGAAAAATACTCTTATCTTTGGGCATCATTGGGTTCCATGACACAGTTTCTCTTTTAAAGGGATCTCCCTACAAGTACTAAGAAATATGAGCATTTTTATTTTGATTTATTTATTTATTTATTTATTTTACATATATAGTCCGTTTTAAAATATGATAGATAAAAAGGGGTATTTTGGAGTGTTTCTCTAATAAAATTTTTTGGATCCTTGTCCATATATATATATTGGCCTCAATTGCTCTAACCCTATCTCCAAGCAGCCTCAATAAACAAGATTTCTTGTAACTTTGGTTTTTCTTGAAACTTCCCAATTATAACTAACTAGTTACACAAGCACGGCCCCTATATATGCTAGAATATTGTAAGAGATTCTAACTGGCAAAGCCACTTTTCATCCCAAACTAGCTATATATATATATATATTTATCTATAATACAAACCATCCTCTTCCATATAATATTTCCAAGTCCCAAACAAAGAAAACCATCCCATACCTTCTTTTAGTTCATTTTCATTCCATCTCCTACCTTAAATTTATTCTTATTAAATTTTACAAAACCCTCCGTACCAAAGATCTCCTAGAGAAATAAAGTTTCCTTTCTTTCCCCACCCACCACCCCCCCTTTTCCTTCTCCGCATCATAAATATGGGCCTAAGGGACATTGGAGCTACACTGCCTCCTGGGTTTAGGTTTTATCCAAGCGACGAGGAATTGGTCTGCCATTATCTGTACAAAAAGATTGCTAATGAGGAAGTCTTGAAGGGCACTTTGGTGGAAATTGATTTGCATACATGTGAGCCATGGCAGCTTCCTGGTATGTCTCTCTCTGCTTTCTTATTAATTACTTCCTTCCTCGGTTTCCCTTGAGGGTTGCTTTGAAATCTTCTTCTTTTGATCGCTTTCTGTCTTCCACGAATTCATGATGTTTTCTGCCTTTCCGCTTTTCGCTAAATGTTCCATTAAAGCTGAAGAAAACAATCATTGCTTGATAAGAAAGTTTTAAGCAAACTAGGGGAGTCTCTTGCTGCTGTTGTTGGTTTGTTTTAACATGTTAAAGACAAACAGGATGGAGAAAAATTATTGACTTCTTCTGGTACTAGGCAGACAAACATGGGGTGCCATCTGCCATGTTAGCTGTTAGAAACAGCAGACAAATTATAAACACGTTTCTCCGTCTGAGAGAGAGAGAGAAAGAGAAAGGAAAGGAAGCACATGACTTTTCTTAGAGTGTATGCACTCACACAAACATATACACGTGCATGTATATGTATATAGTTTATTCATCTTCATTCCCTTGAATAGAAATACAGAATGCCAACTTCTTTAGTGGTAAGTGGTAACTTCCTAAAACGTATAATTTTTCTTCGAACGAATCCACCAAAAGTATTTCTTTCTTTTTTCATATTCTGTATGCTGTCACCTTCTTCTTTAAGTCATGCAGGTAAGGTTGTTTGTTTTTTCCCTCATTTGCTTATGCTTTTGTTTTGGCACATTGCAAGAACTAAAATGAAAAGTTTTTTAACCTTGAGATGGTCTGATTCTGGTTATACATTTTAACAACTATAGCCTGAAATCACGGATATATTTTCCATTCAATACCAACAAGTGGTGAGGATTTCAACTTTTCATAATTTTACATTTTTCCCCTTTGTCAAATCTCAACTATTAATTAAACTTATCGTTAGGATTAGTGTTTTCGTATAAATTATATGAACAAATAGTTAAAATATCTATCAATTATTTCTATGCCAACCCTTACCCGGAAAAACAGCTAGCATTTGCATGTTTACGTGTTGTTTAGCCACCACAAGTAAATACGAGGGGTTGCTTTTCCCTAAATGCATTCACTTTTGTTGCAGGAACTGTGATATTTTCTTTTAAAAGTAGAAATTGTAGATATATATATGGTGTTCATACGCAAGTACCATACCTTGGCCCATATGTCGTCTTAATTTTTCTCAATTTCTCACTCTTCCTGTTATCTCGTGCACTTTCCAATTAATACAGTCGTGCTCATTAAGAATAATGTTGTTTATAGTCTGAATTGGAAAGTCCTACACTCGTGTGAGAGATCATTACCATCTCATGCCAGGTAATTCAATTACTGGGTGATTGCTATAATAGAGAAAGTTCCACAAGACATAATGCCTAAAAATGTTAGAGTGTGGTCTTGGAATAACATGAGGCCCCGAAATAGAAGCCACTCTTTTTGTCTCCTTATTTTTTTTTTCCCACTCTTCCTTGACTGGTGGTAGTTCTTTTCTTAGTTTAGTGACTTTTAAAGTTTAAAACATAAAGATTTTTCTAAATATAAATCGAGCAGTAAAAGAATTCTGTACGTAACTATTAATTATTTTGTTTTAAAGTTTATATCTAGGATATTTGAGGTATATATAAGACAACTTTGTCTAATTTAGCTGTTATAAAGCATTTACTAAGGGAGAGTTTGCTTCCCCACAATTCTGCAGAACGTCACTTTTAAGTTTTTGATACAATCGTCCAAGGCAAACAAAAAGGTACTGTTAGTTATTATAGGAATTATTGTTTTTCCTTAAGCATGTAATGCCAGACAAATCCTTAGCTTTCTTAGACATAACTCATTGGGTGACGTAGACTTACCAACACTCTCAGTAATTCAAGTAATTAGGGAGAAAAAGTTAGTGAAGATGATTTCTTTGATTTTTTTTCCTTTTTTAAAGTTGATTGAAAGCAAAATAGCATTCCATGGCAGAGCGTGATGTAACTCACCCAAGTTGCTGTCTCCTTGGTAAATTATATATTTTGCACGAACAGTAATTAATTATATTCAGACCGTATGGAAGAGTTATTTTATCTGAGTAGGGATTAAATTAAACTAATTATCCACATATTATTGTTTTGTGTATGCATGGGACTAAAATTAAAGAGGTGGCGAAGCTTAACGCAAACGAGTGGTACTTCTTCAGCTTTCGTGACCGAAAGTATGCCACGGGATTCCGAACGAATCGGGCGACAACATCTGGCTACTGGAAAGCAACAGGGAAGGATCGAACGGTGGTCGACCCAAGAACACAAGAGGTGGTAGGGATGAGAAAGACCTTGGTGTTTTACAGGAACCGAGCCCCTAATGGTATCAAGACGGGCTGGATCATGCATGAATTTCGCCTCGAGACCCCACATATGCCTCCAAAGGTCAGTTTCCTCGCTTCTCTTGTCAACTATACTCATCATCATATGTCTCTGTATTCTTGACAATGACTACCAGAGAGAGAAAGAGAGAGTCGACACTATTGCGGCCAGCCGTGTACATACACATGTATAAATATATATCAATATCGTGTTTTCTCTAAGGGAACTTATTAGCAAATATAAAGCAGTGGGCATGCAAGTTGTCCACTAACTTTTCGTCACTGTCTTCTCTTAATCAACTAATACTATTATTATTGTCCAGGGATGCTTCAGGCTTATCACCAACCCCAATTTGATGGCTACTATATACGTGTGCTTACCATTTGTCTTTTTTCTATATTTTCTCTAAACCTTCATCTCCATATTAATTATGACTGTGAAATTCCTTTCTTTCTTTATATATATGCCAATTTGGTACTACTCTACTCAGGTTTGAGTACATAGTTAAAAGTTTAGATCCTTGTTAAGTGTAAAATATTTAAATGAAGAACTAATCAACTTTTTATTTACATTTTTATGTATTTATTTATATGTATCTCAATTGTGAATTCGGTTAAATAAATTGGTTTTCTTTTTTATAAAAATAATATATATCAGGTCAATCTTTTCATTTATAGTGACATGAATCGTAAATCATTCAAAAATAAAGAATGTTTTTAAATGATAGTGGTCATATTTTATTTCGATTTTCTCCTTTAACATTTCTCGTCCTGCTGTTATGTAGCTGATAAAGTTGACATTATGTTTGACAGGAAGACTGGGTTCTCTGTAGAGTTTTCCACAAGAGCAAAGGAGAGAACAGCAGCAAGCTCAGCCCTCCAATGATGTTCGAGACCTCAACTCATGCCCCTTCTTTAACAGACCAAACCATGGCTTGTGCGTATCAACAAATCAGCTCTTTATCCGCCACACCTACCCATCCAAGCCACGGCCAAAGCTTGCTAAACCTGTTTCAATTTTCTCAGGAAAAGAGCAATAACAATCCCGCAAACGAAGTTAGCTCCAAAGTTGATGACGAGTACGAGTTCTTGTGGGACATGAACATGGAAGAAAACAGCTTGGGACATCATGGGGTCGCTTCCAACTTGGAGGACATGAGATTTGAGATTGACAACAGTATGGTTTTCCTATAAAAAATGTTGTATACTTTGAAAAAAGAAAAAAACTACCATTTGTTGATTTGTGATGTTGGTGTGGTGTTTGCCTTTGACGATACAAATCATGTTACGTTGGATATTAGAAGATTGTGTGTTTTTTAGTTTAGGGTTTATTTATTTTTTGTATACAACATTGGGTATTGTAAAAAAATTATATATAAAGCATATAGTTATTCTTTATTGGTCTTTATCTTTTTAAATAAATTCTATTTTTTTAAAAAATCAAATATAAAAAAATGCAATTTAAACCTGTAGATAATAGAGTGCAAAACTCTGACAAGATTTTTTTAATTTTTTTCGTTGTTTACATTTAATTAAATATGTTAACTTCATGATTACAAATTAATTAATTAATTAATTTTTATGGAAAAATTATTTTATTTATAATAGTGTGGAAACAAAAGAGTGCAAATTTGCTTGTGAAATTTCACACTCCATTAGCAATGTATTGAAAAATAATCATAAGACTATAGCCTTCTAATTAAAATTTTTATTGAATGTTTAAATAACTTTATACTATCAACTATTAAAATATATATGTATTATAATTAAATGAAAAATCATCGCTGTGAAAATTGTAAAGAAAATTTGTTAATTTTAAGATTTAGCATTTTCCTTAATTGCATTTTAACCAAAAATTTCATTAATGAAAGGGTAATTTTATTTTGAAAATGCACTAAAATTATAATAATATAAAAATAATCATAAGATAAATATTGCTAGTACAATTTGTTTTTGAAAACAATTCTTATAGAAACTTATCACGGTTGCTTTGCAAATCCAAAATAGGAGGTTTAAACTCGGGTCATGATGCATCAAAAACAAATCATGCAGGCTCACCTAGGCTTAGCTTTTATATATATATATATACTCTTTGTGTAGGCGAGGGGGGTGTTAGTTAAAGAAGCTTCCCTCATATTACTTGGCTATAAAAGAAGCTTTTGTGGTCATTCAGGCATGGTCTGGCTATACTATTTTGGGCAGCACTCGCCAGAGTTAGCTGATTGTATGTGGGGAAATTCTTTGCTCTCTTTGGTTGGCATGTAATGATTCTATTTTTAATAACAAGCTATGGGATGGATATGGAATTCTTTTCCTTATTAGAATGCGCTCTTTGTTTTAGTTCCATGCATGTGATGAAAATGATGTGATTGATGAGTACTATTGGTGTTTAAAGCCACAAAACTTTGCCATAAAAAGGATCTTTCTTCACCATTGACTTGGGGTATCATGGGAACCACCGGCAATGGGTGAGTATAAATTCAATGTGGATGGCTCGACTAGAAGCAAATAAGGCTTGGTAGGTTGTGAAGGAATGCTAAGGAACTCTAATGGTTTTGTAGCTGGGGTCTTCTTTGATCCTCTCAATTTACGTGACTTTAACTATGTAGAGCTGATAGCTATTTGTGTATAGGTGGTTGGTAGTTCTTGGGTTGTTACGTGATGATATTGCGTATAGGTGTTGATATTTCAGGTTTCGGGAATCGAGTGGCACTTTTTTTTAAGCTATCAATTGTTTGATCACATATGCAACCTGTTAGGAATAAGGTTTTCCGGTTTTGTATACATGTTACACTGAAATTGGTTGGCTCAAGTTGATTTTGGCAGTGTAATGTACCACTACCAATATAGGGTAGTTTTTGTAAAGTTACTTAAATTAATGAAGAATTCCTGAAGCATTAAAAAAAAAAAGATTTAGGTTTATGGCATAATGCTCTTAACTTTTCCTTTTTTTTTTTTTTGGTTAAGCCGCCATTTCATTAATATGTTTAACAATAAACACCAAAATCAAAATAGCAGGTCAACCACCTCGTAACATCTTGGTTGTCAAAAAAAGTATAATGTCAAAACAGGCATTAAGCCCTCCCACCTGACATCACGCCTACACTTATGAATAGCTCAGTCCCCTTAACACAGCAAGCAACATTAGGCTGCATAGAACCAAGTTACAAAAAAAATCATAGTCAATTAACAGGCCACAACATCACCAAACTAGAGAGCAAAATATGTCTAAATACCAAGGTAGTTCTTTCTCTATTTTTTGTGAAATGCCAACCACTATATGTAGAACATACCTTTCTAAAACAATAACCACTTCATAGACGCACAACATCATTTTTACATTCTTGAAGTACTCTAAATTTCTCATAATCACATCACCTTGACAATGACAACACCATAAATTTCCAACATTCCTCCGTAACTTCCTCAACACATTGCAGTTCACAAAATATAGCAATCCTCTAGCATTTCTTGCTATGATTTTCATTCTATAAGAAACAATTCCCATAATCAAAGATAAAAAAACCTACCTAACTCCCCTGTTTGATAGGGAAAAATCCAATTAATTGTCTTGAAACTCTTAATTAGCACATTATCACAAATTGTGCAAAAAAAAAAAATTTAAGCTAATCCAAACAAACATCAAGCCTTCATCAAACATAATAACAAGTCACAAAATGGAAACAACCATAAGAACAGAACATCCAATAGCACCATCATCAATGCACTAAACCTATTAATTCGAATGCAAAACATAGTATTCCTTTGAAAAGAGAAAAAGATAAAAAGGAAAAAACAACAACACAATTCCTAAAGCCAACACCTCATCTAAGAAAAGAGTAGACATAAAATATCAAGTTACAAAGCATTTGTTCCTCATAACCAAGTAAGAAATCAACCTTATTTAGCCCCAATTATGCAAATTATCAACACAGTATAAGTCCATAAAGCAGAAATGTAGAGAATGTGACATATGCCCAGGTAGTTGGAAAAGAAAAAGAAATGACGTTATAGTTGGTATGACTAGAAAGAAGAAGACTTAAAAAAAAGAGAAGAAAATGTGATTGTGCTGTACATGTAGAAAATCTACATTAGTTGGAAAGAAGTCTCATTACTAAGGTTGAGCATCACATGGAGTAGACACATTCCAAACATATCTGCAAGTAGGATTACCATGAGAGTTGATGGTTAGAAGGTAGGTACCAAAACACTGTTTGATGTCCTTTAGTGAAAATAAGGATTGTCGAGAAGTAAAGAAAAGAAGTTGGGAGGGGTTGGAATTGGTTTTTATTGATGGAGGAGTGGAATGAAGCTTTTAAAACACCAATACATTACAACTGGGTGGCAATTAGAGGGATTTTGGTGCATGCGTGGTGTTGTAGGGTATTCAAAAATATAACTAAATATTGGAAGGAGCTGATTAAAATGAACGAAAAGAGCTCTTACTAAAGTAGTTTTAATGTGGGCATATTGTTAGTGTCAACCAAGGATGATGCAAAAATAAAAGAAGTCGTTGAACTACATATAACCGACCATGTTTTCCAAGAAGCAGTTATGGAGTTTCTGATAGTTGAAGGCCACTTAAAGAATAAGATGAGGGAAATGGTAAGGAAAATGAGGATATGGCCTCAATGGACGATGTGGCATATAAGGATGACATGGCAAAGTGCGATAAGCAAGTATGGGACAACATGGCAAATGAGAGTGAAAAGGAAAGACAAACAATTTTGTATTTGAAAGAAAGCTTAAGGAGGTTAGCACGAGGCATAAGGGTATGGTGGAATTAGAAGAAAGGTAGGAAACATATGAAAAGGATTAGGTGACAGAACAACCAAAAGCATGCAAAGGCAAAATTTCTAGTTTAATAGGAAAATGATAAAAGCTCAATTATAGGGATTTTCTTTGGACTATTGGGAGTCAATAAATCAAACTATGCAAAGCTGATGGCAATTAAATATGCTTTGCAATTGTTTATGTCATCACCATATGTTGTAACTAAAAAGTTGGTGATTGAATCTAATTCGTGAATTGCCCTAGCATGGGTAAGGGAACCAAAAGAAAGACTTTGGACTTATTGGAAAATCTTTAATGCTGTGGATAATTAATTTAGAGCGATTGAGGATTTTGAGTTTAAGCATACATTAATAATTCATTTACATATGGACTTACTAAATTTGGGGTGGATAGATAAGAAATATTCTTTGTTTAGTGGTGATACTAGCTGCTCAAAATGTATGATTGTGTTTGATTAGCTATAGCTAATGTGCCTTCTTAGGTATTTTATTCTATTGTTATAGGGCATGATGGTTGGGTTTTCAAAGATATTATACTTACTAAACATTCTGCTTTATTTTATGCTATGGTTTTCCTAACTTCAAGGTGATTTAGACATTTTTCTACCCATGTTTTTTGTACTTAAATTTGAAGATTAAGCACAAAGAATCTACGAAAAAAAGGTAGAAAAAAGAAGACAAATTGAAAGTCAACATAGGACAAAGAAAAAAAAGAGAAAAAGGGATAAAGGCTATAAGCCGAAAGGTTAAAGAGTGTAAAGATAGCAAGCACAATGGGAAAAAGGTCTAGGGTGAACTAAATGAATAAATCAACAAACAAAAAAAATAAAAGAAGGGAGCTCAAAAAAGGGGAGAGAAAAAGAATGGTGTTGGGTGAAGAATAAAGAAAGAATAACTGTTAAAAAGAAACTTAGCAAGAAATAAATGAGTTGGGAAAAGATATAAGTAGAAATGAAGAAGAAAAAAGCCATGAAAGGAATTGTATGGGACAAATCATGGGGAAGGTAAAAACAAAAACAGGAAGAAACAAAAGAAAAGAAGGAAAAAAAACTAAGTTGCAAAAAGAAAAAAGAGAATGGGGCGATATAGTCTGATTAGAAAAGTCTAAATGAGGATGATTTAAAGATTGAGGATACAAGTGTAAAGAACTTGATAGATATCACACTATTTAGTAAGCTAAGAAATTGCAAATTAGGTTTCGTTAATGAGATTGAGGTCAGATTGAGTGGAAGGGTCATGAAGAAAAAAATGGAACAAAAAAAAAAGACATAAATGGAGGAGAAGAAGAAGGTTGAGGTAGTGAATGCATCACTACCATATAGTGTTGTGTTCAATAGGAATAAAATCATTAGAGGTGAGGTGAACAAGGTTTAAGAATTAAGCAAGAATTTCGGCTTGGAGACACCTTGAGATGAAGAAACAGTCCTAAAATGGCTTCAAATGTTAGAGAGGATTAAGCAGTTTTAAATGGCATAGGAATGTTTCAATAGATAACTATTATCGTTCATCTTTAGCTACTTAGTTGAATATAAATCTAAAAAGTAGAAAAAAAAGAAAAGTGAAGGAAGAAAAATGAGAGAAAAACAAATCATAAAAAAGAAAA